CCAGCCGTCTCCGGGCAGTAGGCGGGGGACACCCTGAACCGGTTGCCAGCCAATCGCGGGGCTCACCGAGACGAACAACCATCCGCGCTCACAACAGAGTACTGTTTTATTTTTTTGAGGCGGTCGTGTCATTTTTTTTTTCCCCTCATGAGGACATACTTTAGCTCTGAGTTGAAGTGGATAGACGTGGACATGACAGCACAAACACAATCGAGTTTCCTTCAATATTTATTGAAAATTAGCAAAAACATGTCTACTCTATGTTGAAGTTTTTTATGACATTAAAGCACCATTTTCTTGCCGATACACGATACAAATACATACAAATGCAGTCATGACAGCTGAGCACCAGTAAAAATTTTCAAACTATCGTTCTGAAATCTGCCAAAAAAAACCCGCCTCAAACATTTTTGAGCAACCGACCCGCCGAATTTGAACCTGCGCAAAACTGGGCAGTGTCATGACACTGCCTCGCGATTTTAAGACCTCGGTACAAAACGCCATTTGAGGATTTATTCCGGAGTCTCGTCATCCGTCCTGAGGTCCATGTTCTAGATCAGGTCATGAAATGACACATCGCTCGCGAGCTGGACTGTGATTGAGGATTTTTCAAGAACCGACTCGGTCGGACAAATGCTCAAAGGCCGTGAAGCTTTGGGCATTCAAGTCGGACAGCGCTGCACTTTGACGAGGCGTGAGGGGAAGGCGAGCGCCCGCATTCGCCCGTTCACCAACATTTGAGAAGGTGCACTTTGCGCCGCGATGCGTCACCGCAGCCAATTGGCATCGAGAATGCGCTTTCGACATCACGCGCACAGAGCGCACACGCGCGGCAAGCTGAAATGAAAACGTGGGACAATATCATTGCGGTCCGTGAGCCGCACAGCGCGGCCAGCTTCCAATAGCGGCTGACGCCAAGCCGAAATGGAGCAGGCATGGAGAATTGGGGGGGGGGGGGCGACCAAGTATTGACTTGTACACAGCTGTTGAACCAGCTCGTATTTAGCATCAGTTTCTGCACAACCGCCAGGCACCCGACGGACCAGAGTTGTTTGACTCGAATTATTTCTTTTTGGCCAGAGAAGAAGGAGCCCCTCCTTCCTGTAGTTCGGAACGAAGCGATATGTCGACGTCGGTCTGAGGACAACGAGCGTACTAATACATGGACCTTAAGCCGGATCTCGAGGACAGCGAGTAAACACTCCAAACGTCTTTACGACGGCTTTTTGACGTCGAAGGTCATCATGACGGCCATGTCTGCAGACTCTGCGGAGTTGGCGGCCAGTTTGAGGACCGCCACCCCCTCCCCGCTGAACACCTCGCCTTCCCAGACCCGGCTCTTGTTCAGTTTCAGGTCGGTCCGCCCGTGAGCCACCACGCACACTCGCTGAGCCCCCGGGATCCTGACCCGGAAGCGGACCCAGGAGGCCGCGTCCAGCAGGCCCGCGCGGGGCTCAAAGAGCACGCAGCCTTTCCTCCAGGCGGCGTAGACGCAAGGGAAAGGAAGGCCCGCTTGCCGGCAGCCGTTCCTCAGCACAAAGTCGCACGTGGGGTGGAACTCTCCGCCGGGGCCGTTCCTGGCGTACACGCCCAGCCGGTACGTGCCGGCGTCCGGCAGGCCGACGCTCACCGTCACCTTGCTGTCGGTGTGCGTGCAGAAAAGGTGTCGCGCCAGCGGGAAGGCGGAAGCGTCGGTCTCGTCTGCCCGGCTCAGCGTGGTGTACAGCTCCAGGTCCCGCCGGTTGTGGAAGGTGATGTTGCATTTGCCGTGAGGCGTGCTCACCAGCGCCGCCGTGTGGCTGAATTTGGACAGCCCCGCCTGCGCGGTGCGGGTGCCCGGCCCGCACGCCGAGCTCAGATCGGGCGGGAACAGCTCGTCCCGGCCGGCCACCTTGCCCTTGCAATGCAGCAGGAAGTTGGCGGCGTTCTGGAACTTGGCCTCCGTTTTCGCATAGTCCCGCACAAAGACGGAGAGGCGGTAGAAGCCGCGTGACGGGCAGACGACGTGGCAAGTCAGAAGCTCCGGTTGGATCTGGGAGGCTAAGCAACGCTTGGCGACGGAGGCCTCCAGGCCCGGATGGACCAGCTCGCAGAGCATCATCAGCGAGCGCGACGTCCTCAGCGCCAGTTTGAAGCTGCCTCCTTCCACCTCCGCCATCTCGCTACCCTGATCGCTCCCCGCCACTCCCAGGGAAGCCGCCGCCGGCTGCAGCCCCCACGACAGATAGGGGTTCTCGGGGATCTCCTCGGTGGCCCTCGGTTCCAGGCACTCCACCGTGAAGGAGCACACCCAACTCAGCGGAGTGGTCGCCTTCTCGGGCCTGGCGTACAGCCTCAGGTTGTAGGCGCCGCTGGCGGGCGGCAGCAGCTGCAGGTTCATGCTGTGCTGGGACACCGTCAGGAGGCCGAAGGAGGAGTGGCTGCCCTCCTTGTGTTCCGGAGTGCCGCAGTGGAGGAAGTCCTGGTGCGGCGTGATCTCGTAGGTGAAGGTTACGGGCCGCGAGAAGCCCACGGAAATGTTGGCCTCGCCTTCATCTGAGGAGAAACCGAGGGCAAGGAGACCAGATGCAATCTTTTGCCCGAGCAATGAAGAATTCCCGGGTGTCTTCGGAAAAGGTCTCGGACGTTCCCGCCTTTCGCTACCGTGCGATCGGAGGTCGTTCCTGATGAAGCGACCGAGCAACGCCTACTCGACAATTTGAGCCGCTCTCGTGCCATCGCGAGTGAATTCTCTCGCCTCAATGTATTTTGTTACTTTTGTCGAAAAACCGCAATCGACAATTCTAGCGACTTGATGTGGCTTCGTTGGAGACGCCCTCCGGAGTGAGAGACATCAACCCGCTACCGGATCATTTTCAGCGCAACGACGCAAGTGGCCGTCGAACTGCACTTAACGTTGGCGGAGCCCCAAACATCGAGTACGTCATCGATCAGAAGTGAACCATTTGAAATCGCTTTGACGATCGAATGTTTCAATGTTGTCTGACCCTGAAAATCGTGGATCTTCGGCCAGCCTGGTAACAGTCACGGAAGGAGAAACTCGATTTGCGGGTTGGATTTTGTACGATCGAGCTAAATTCCGAAGAGTCCGTTTCCGGACACGTCAGACTGACCAGTGACGAGGTGGCAGTGATGAGGCTGGATGAGCCTGAGACCCATGCCGAAGAAGGCCGAGGTCTTGAAGACTCGCCGCTCAAACTCCTCCAGGGTGACGGGTGCCTCCAAAAGCTGCCATCGCTCCTCGTCGGGGAAGTGCGAATCGATAAACTCCTCCGGGTCCGTCAGGAAATAGAAGTCATCGAACCTGGCGGGGGGCGACAAACAAAGACGGGTGCTTTTTTTCAGACCCTGGGAGGGCTGACATTTTTTCCCCGCGCTCGACTGCTCATCGCCGCTCGAGCAAGCAAGCAAAGCGGCGGAATGGCTTTCGGGTGTCCCGCCGGAGACCTTTTGACGAAGCTCTGGTGTTCCATGTCCACTCGTCCGGCTCCCCAGCAGGCGTCCATTAGGAACCACTGTCCCCCCAAGAGCACGGCGTTCCACAGGTGATCCGATTTCACGTTCCTAAGGCTCTGGCCCTGGCGGTAGCCGATGCCCTTACTGTGGCCCGCCACCTCTTGGCACTCGACGCCCACCAGCCTGTCAAAACGAGCAGAGCACCCGCCCCCCACGACCCCCTCGTTTTCAGTGATCTGGAAAATCCAGAGGGATTGCGGCCTGAATGACGCGCTATTGTCCGCCAACGGAAACCTCGATTCAATGCGTTGCGCTGCGGAAGACGACTCGCCGCGTCTGGTGTGCCGCTTGTGATTGAAATCTCCAAAATTGGCACTGCCCCCTGAAGAAGAGCAAAATGTTCGACTTTGTCGTCCGTCCAGGCCACCCACTACTGTCCTTGTCCATCTATTTCCTCATCCCGCATGAAAAATAGCGACCAGCACAGGTCTGGTTGAAGCCTTCAGGTCAGGCGTTACCGTGGAGTGACGCAATCAGGTTCCCGCTAAATTCGAGGCAAGTCGAGTCTTCGAGTCAAGCCTTGACTTCGGCTACGTTGGTGTTTCCCAACCCTTCGTGAGCCGAGGCGTCTTACCAAAAGCTCTTCTTCTTTTGTTTGAATGTCAATTGTAGCTTTGGCCCCTCGAGCGAGAAAGCATTCAAGCCGCTCACCGTCACGCGAGGGTCACCTGCCGGTCACGTGACTGCTTTTTCTGCCGACCTTCAAATGGACACGGGAAGTCCCCACAAATGCCGGTTCAACGACGCCAAGCGGTGAGACGACTAAAGGGTAAGGCTCCGACTAAAACTCGTCCTGAAATTGTGGACCCTCCGATCGCTTTTAGGGTGAGTGGAGCATTTTGGAAGGATTTTTCAAAGGTCAACAAGCAAGACTTGTCAAGTCAACCGGTTCGCGTCGAGTCTCTTTTTTGAGTTCTAGTCCTGAAATCGGCGACTTCAATTTCGACTGGGGTCTGTCCGCCACATCGAAGAACACGCTTGTCGCAAGAAGTCCTTACCTGCACATTTGCATACAGAGACCCGAGTAGCCGCAGCAAACTCCGCGACCGGTCGCGATGACTTCCTCCGGCGAGCACAGCTTCTCCGATTGTCCCAGGTAGCCGCCGATGTCGTACTCTGTCGATGGGGACAGCGGCGCCGTGACGTTCCCAACGGCAAAATGAAATACGGAACCGAGCTCGGCGGAGATGGGCTTCCCCCCTCACCGATGTTGTGACAGAGCCAAACCCAGATGGCGCGGATTTTCTCCAGCTCGCTCTTGGCAACACTGGCGATGTTCTGGACGATGGCCGCCACGTCATGAACGCGCTTTTCCCTAAGCTGTAACGCAAACATCAACAAAAGTGGATTAGTCCCAGGATTTGAACGCATCCCTGACAGTTTTGGGCTTTGATTTTTTTTTTTGTGTGTTCCCTTCAAGCAAACTTTTTTCATCTTGCGAAACGGGCCCGTGTCACGCGAGCGTTTGTCACCTCGGCCCCGGCCCTGATGACGTGCGAATCCAGCCGGTGGAAGATGTCGGAATTGGCAAAGAGATCTTTCCTCCTCCTCTGCCTTCCCGCCGTCGTCGCCGCCGCCCCCCTCGGCGCCCCCTCCGCCTTGGCTTTGAGGTTCCTCTGCGGCTCCTCCGCCCTCACGGCGCTCTTCTTCACAACGGCGATGCTCCTGGAGGCGCTCTCGGTCGACAGCTGCCTCTTGGCCGTCGGCCGCTGGTCCTCGGCCTCGGCCGCCAGCTTCTCAAAGACGCTGCGGCGGGAAAGCACGGCGCTCCGCGGGGCTCGGCTTTCGTCCGCATCGGGGGCGTCGGGAGCGTCTACCGCCGGGTCGGCGCCGCCCGCCAAAATCCCCACAAGGGCGACGGCGCTTGGCGGCCTCACTACGGGATTTTCCGGCAGCCCGCGGCGCTCCGGGGCCTTCACCCGGATGCGTCCCGGCTGGCTGGCCTCATCCTGTCGGGCGGAGCAGGAGAAGGGGAAGGAGAACTTCTGGATTCCGACCTCTGCCGACATTATGCGGAAATCATAACGGCCTGGAGGGAGAAAGCGGAACCGTTGACCACCAAAAAAAAACAACCCCAACTTCAAATCAACACCACAATGTTGTCGTTCTCACACTCAGGCTGGCCCGTGTCTCGGTGAATCCCGTACGACGCTATCTCTGGACGGCAGTGATGAATTGCCGATTCAATCGTTTCTATTCCTGACCGTTAATGACGGCAAAGGTTGGAGTCATTAGTCTTTGTCCAATCTTACAGCAGATTATTTCCACGTTACAACTTCTTCCTGCTGGACTTGTCGTGCTTTGAAATGAGAAAAAAAAATGCGTTTAAAATACAAAATGGGTCATCTTGTACAGCAGTAAAAGCAGCCGACTGTCCGATCTTTTCAACCTTTTTCGATCACAACATCGATGGTCAAATAATATCAGTCGCCTTTGTACTTTTAGATTTTATGACACACAAATTCGAGAAAGAAAGGTTCTTTGGTTTTTGTTTTTTTTTGCATTAGCACAAAGTAGACAAACTCAACTCAGGCGACCGAGGCAGTTGTTGCGTGTCTCTCAACGCGCCTGCGCAATGCTAACAACAAAGCAAGAACCTGCTTTGTCGTTAGCATCGCTTCATCACAAAGTCGCCGAAGGACTCGCTAAAATGAGGCTCCAAAGGGAGTTAGTTGGGTGTCGATCAAAATGCCTCTGTGCCGATCTTGAGTTTACGCAACACACAGATTGGAGAGGCTCATCGTTTCGTTGTTAGCATTAGCATTCCAAGCCCACGAGTCGTGACTCGTTTTGACAGTCCGCGACAGTTTGAAAATGTGCTACAGGATAAAAGTGCGCCTGTGCTTCCTCTCATTCGGTTCTCAGCGCACTTTTTCCTGAACAATATCGGAGCTATTTTTCGGGCAGAAAGTAAGGAAACGGTTGTCGAAAATCGTGCTACAAAGGAAGTTGATTAGCATTCCAAGTCAGACACCCAAATGTCTTCAGGATTTATTTTGACAGCTCGCAACAAAATTTGACGACACGCTACCCAAACCTACAGGGTAGGATGTCGGCACAACTGAATTGTATCAAAAAAGTCAAAACATTTCCGAAAAAGGGTTTTCTGGCAAACGGATCTAAAAATCAGGACACAAAGGGAGTCGAACCCTGAATCGAACCCCGCATCTCTGCACTGTGAGGTCATTGGACCACCATCTTGTTGCCATCTGTCCCGTAAGCGTGCTCAAACATACGTCGGCGCACCGTCTACTCACCCCGAGCCGAATCGAAATGCCTGCTGCGAGTTTGCCCGAGAGTGCGGCATGGAGTTGTTTCCAAGTGTTGTCGCTGGCCGGCGGTGGGCACAGCTTATATAGCCTGCCAGGACCAGGCCCCAGAATAACGGGCCTAAAAATACAACAAAGAGCAGCCAATAGGGGTTGAGACCCCACCATGCACACATTCGCGCGTGTGCGTGTGTATGTGTGTGTGCGCGCTGGGGATGTATGTTGGCTTTCACCGACAGCCCCTGGCATCCGATAATGTGTCCATCGGTGCTAAACACATCAACGACTCGAAAAAGAAACTTGAAGCTTTAACGATTCTTGACGGACAGTCAAAATGCTAACAGACGAGTCGGGTAAGTGTCTCGGGGCTTAGTCGCCGTTGGCTAAGTGGCCACCGAAAAAAGCACATGTCTTTGGGGAGGTTATTTGCACCCCTCTTGTTTTTCACCAAGGGAACCAAGTTACCCACTGTGCAGTTGTCGTGGTTTTTTTTTTTTTTTTTTTCTTTTAATACACCACTTAGAAAAAAAGTTGGGCTTTGGGGTGACATTTCAGGATGACCCTAAAACCCACGACAGCCTTGACAGGTGCACTTCATTCGACCTTCTGTCAACTTTTCGAAGCTTGTGTTTGTTGCATGCTCAAAAAAGTGGAGCTCCACTGTTGAGAATTCAACTCTTTCCCCACTGCAGGTGTCCACATTTGACACACTTGGTCTTTCTGGCATCCGCGTTGTCATTCCAGAGAAGCCAGCTGCCTGGCCGCTTGCTAGCTCGCTAGCCTGCTCATGTTATGTGGGCTATACACACAAACACACACACACACACACACACACACACACACACACACACACACACACGACACTAAACGAGCGAGGCGGCGACTTCTTGAACGACATCAGTCCACATCCCGTGCGCTAAAAGGCTAGTCGGCTAACAGGCAAGCTGGCCCGCCTGTAAGCTAGCCGCCATATAACAAACACGCGGTTAAAGGTTCACCGTTTATGAAACACGACACACAAGGGAGCACATATGTTCATTCAGGAGTGTACAAAATTCAAAACTAAAATCTCACAAGAAGTGAGTCCGGTCACGGAGTGAATGAACCTCACCAAGGTAGCACTGTTGTCATCGTCAAGAAATGACGTTGAAGTGCTATATCGCAACTGTTCTAAAGGATGTCAAAAGAAGCTCGCTTTAGCCTTAGTTGTGAACTATAAAAAAAGGGAAGAATTTTTTAAAAATTGCGTGCGGCTAATTATTTGCGTTTTTTTTTTTTTTTTTAAATGGGTGGCGGGGCTAAAACGGGGGTCTCCATGTATAATTTGAACTAAAACGGTCAAGCTCCAAATGCTTCTGCTCGGCTAGGCTAGGCTATAAATAGCAAAGGCAGTAAATCATTTGTGTTTAAAAAAAAAAAAAAAAAAAAACACCCCCGCCTGCCGCCATAAAATGTTATCGGGTGGACACAACGGGATGCATTTGACGGAGTTGCGCCAGTTCCACTTGTTGCTAGGCGGAATTCTCGGAGCGCAAACATCTGCTCCTTCAGCCCCAATAAAAATGTGTTTGATAAAGTAGCAGTTGGACAGGAAGACCTCTCCGCCTGCTGCAACACACCTGATTCAAACCATCAGCTCATCGGCGAGCTCTGCAGGAGCCTGGAAACCATCCGGAACATTTGCAATCGCTGTCATCGTTTTCCGCTGTATTGACAAGTTCGATCATTCAGAAGTTCCCGACTTTTATTCCCCAATAGACGAGACTCACGTCCTGCTATTGATTTATTTTTTTTGTTTCTGGCATTTCAAAAAATGAAAAGGACTCATTCTCGAAGTGGCTCCTCATTTTGTCGACGCCTTGTCAAGTTAAAGCCAGCAACCCTATTCTTATTTTGCCCTTCTCGCACCCAATTGCGATCATAAATGATGAATAGGACCCAGAGGCGATGTCTCTCATGAAATCGGAATGGCTGAATTCTGATACATTTGCACATGTACTGCGAAAGGTAGTCGTCGGTGGTTTGTGGGGGAGAAAATGAAGGCCTCGTGCCTCCAGCAAAAGATTTCATCCGACGGGATGTTGAGGCGCGTCCAGCTGCGAGCTTCTCCTGTGATCTCTCACACACCTGCTGGCCTCATCTTCTTCAAACACCCTGGTGAGGAGGAAGACGACGACGATGATGATGATGATGGCGTGTCGCCTTCAGGCGCTTCGCACCAGAATCTGACACTCATCCACTGGGATGGAAAAAACAAAAAAACAAAAAGAAGAGCGAGCCGGACCTTGACATTGGAAGCCTTTGTGTGTCGGTTGTCGTGGCGACGGCAAAAAAACGAGGAAATTGAAAATGATGCGTGGTGTCACATGCCGGCATGTGAATCATGTGACCGGCGAGACCAGTTCCAGCTGTCGCCGTCAGGTGACTCCTCTTCAAAATGGTTTCCGGCAAACGGCCCAGCTCCTTTGGAAAGAATCACTTACACTGTCACATTCATCCCATTACACACGCTTGGAAAATGGACGTTGTTTAAAAAAACCTAAAAAAAAATTTTATATAAAACCTCAAATATTGAAAGTTGCATATTTAATGAGTATTCGGTGAATATACTTGGCGAATTCTCTTTCCAACAATACCTGCTTTGTGAAGATTCCAGCGACGGAAGGTTTCAAAGGGAGGTGGCCACGCCCCTTTTTGCCGATCTCAAATTTGAGGTTTGGTGCCGTGTCATCACGATCAATAAATACAAAAAGTGTCATTCAATCAAAACCCGCTTGGTTAAACCCACTTGATTGAGCACCGAATGAAAAAAAATCCAAACACACACACAAAATCAAACGTGGTCCTGCTCCAAATGCAAATTAGCTGCATTTTTTTTCTCTTTGGTTTCCTTGAGCCTTGTGAAAGTCTTATAAATAAAATCTATTGTTATTATAATAGGCAGTCTGACGTCACGAGACAGCAGATTTGAGGTTTTGCTTTCCATCTAAGTCAACAAATTAAAGTGTCATTCCCAATCGTTCGTGTGATGACGTCACGCAGCCTGCGCATGCACAGCAGGCACCGCGGCGTACTCCACAGCCTGCCCATTTTTTTTCTGAGTCTCGAGTGTGTGTGTGTGTGTGTGTGTGTGTGTGTGTGTGTGTGTGTGTGTGTGTGTGTGTGTGTGTCTTTCAACTTTTTGCTCTGTTCCAGCCGCTCCGGCTTACTTCCGGGGTGGTGGACGCTCCAGTGACGTCGGCATGAAGCCTGAGGCGATGGATGATGGCGACGCGACACATGCAGGTCATAACTTTTTTTTTTTTTTAATTTAATCATCGTTTATGTGACTTGATGAACCAATTGAGTGGCTCGCGCGCCTCATTCGGATGCCAGATTGTGACGTGTGCGTTTGTCCTGCTCGCCGTGCTTTCTTGCTGCTCTTGTTTTTGCGGGGCTTCAACTCAAACAATTCAAACTCTTGATGCAGTCAACGTTCATGAAAGACGTCTGGCTCGCAGTTCAGTCGGTGACTGACCACAAATATTCACTTTTATGCCTCAAAACGAGGAAGAAACGCTTCAGCGCACAAAAGTTCTCCTTGCTTATGTGTTTGGAACAAGTTCCCACGACTCATTAAATTGATTGGAGCTTGAAATTGGGGTCTAAATAACAACAAAACAAAAACCAAACAAAGAACAGAAAGTTTTTTTTGTAATCCCTAAATTGATACCCCCCCACCCCCCCCCACAAAAAAAAAAATTAATACATTTTTAAAAGTTCCTCTGACTGATGAAATGGGCCCTATTTTGAAAATGTGAACTTTGGAACTTTTCCATGACCAAAAGTGCAGCCGAAGGTCCGAAGCGTGTATTCGTTGTCGCCATTTCGACACATGAACCGGAAACTTGAAATAGTTTCAAAGCAAAGGAAAGACGGCAACATCATTTTCTGAAATTACCAAAATGGAGGGGAAAAAAGTGATGAGACGGACCTTAATCAAAGATGTGGGGTTGGGGGGGTGCAAAACCCAAACCCATTCAGGGAGTTGTAGACCAAAAGCTCGTCTCCAGCTAAATGGGAGCCAGCGTCAAGTCTTGAGGCCTTCAGTCGTACTTTCTGATGTCAGAGCCTGAGCTGCGGCGATCTGCAGGTGTTTGATGCCCTTTTCAGGAAGTCTGGTCAGAAGACCATTACTCAAATCTAGTCTACTGGAGATAAAAGCACGGATAAGTTTCTCCTCATCAACCCTGCCGAAAGTCAGGTGCGAGTCTCTCACCAGCCCAAGTTTTCAGACTTGGTCTTTAGTTTCTCACGACAGTGACTCAGGGGCATTTTGGTTCATCCACTTGTAAAGTTGCTCCAAGTCGAGACGCAGCACGTCTGTTGAATCGCTGTCGTTTGGGGACAGTGATCAATCCAGCTGCGTGTCATCTGGCTCGCCGTTCTACCCGACGTTGGCATCCGCAAGTATTTGACCCTCAGAAAACAAAGATGGACTGAACAAAAGCGGTCCAAGGGTTGACCCTTGAGGGACACCCCCCCATGTCAGAGCCAAGACAAATGACACCTCAATGTCGTTATTTGACTTATTCAGTGTGAGAGCTGTTCCTAATATTTGGAGTCACAGGATGTAGCTATACGAGAGAACATTTTTCTTGGATTTGACCTTGGGTTTGACCTTCGGCGCACCTTTGCGTGCACTTTGTGTCACCATCTTGTTTTTTTATGTAAGCCTGGCCGCGGCCGCCAACCTTTTATTTGCCATTTGGCTGACACGTCCATCTGTGTCAGCCACTCTCCGCGGCGGCAAACGTGTTGCTTGGTTCCGGCGGGAGTTCAAAGAGCACATGCCGGCATGGGAATCCTGCCGCGTTAGCGCACGCCAGGATGAACGCCGTGCTACTTTATAGAAGTGAATTACTTTGAAAGCAACACTTTATTGTCACATGCAGATTTTGACGCGTCTTTCAGGTACGTTGCGTTCCACACTTCTATTTTTACGCCGTAAACAAACCCGGTGTGTCTCAATCGCTGTCTAGCGGTTTGTCAAATTTGTTCGAAAATGGTATGGTTCCAAAATTGTATGTCGGAACAGCACACGAAAAAATATATATATCAATGCGATGCACTATGCCATCTGTTTTCGGTGCGGAATGAAAAAAGGACAAATGATTATGAATGAAAATAAAAGATTTACCCCCCCCCCAAAAAAAAAGAAAAACACGGATGCAGATCCCTTTTGAGGCACTCGCTCCTCATCGCAAATTTTTGCAGTAGTTTCTTCTCTCATTAGCAATTTACTGAATTCATGAGCAAGCATTTGTGCGCGTGTGTGTGTGTGTGTGTGTGTGTGTGTGTGTGTGTGTGTGTGTGTGTGTGACACGCAGCGTTGCGTCACACTTTTAAGACGTTAAGGAAGGATGCAAATATTTCTTGTACGCTCTTTGTTGAGGTCGACAAGAATCCACTCTGGCTGTGGTAGTGGCTGCGGTCTCCAGCAGGGGGCGGTGTGTACGTGCCGACATACTGGGGGGCGGGGGCTCCTCTGTGCGGTTTATTTTCTGTTATTGATTGATTGATTGATTGATTGATTTTTGACTGACTGTCTTTATCACACGCATGTTTGCCGGCAGACTTGGAAGACGCGCGCGAATGTGAGAGGCGGCGCGAAGAATTCAAAAGAAATGTTGATCCTCACGTGTCGGTTCATACTTGGGAAGAATGAAGATCCGCTCGCTGATGAAATCGCGGAGGAAATTGTGCGCTCGCGATCAGCAAATGTCTGGTGAGGGTCGACGGGGAGGAATTGAACATTTTGTTCATTTTATTGTAAAAATTTGTCAATTGGCGGCATGGAAATCATTCTGGAGATGAACTGAATGAATTTTTGAATCTTTTTTTTTTTGGTGGGGGGGGTTATTTGTGAAATTTGCTGAGGTCCAAGTTTCTCTGAATGAGCTGAACAATTTGGAGTTCTGGGGGTTTTTTTTTGCATTTCTATTCAGTCAGTGAGCATCATCATTCGACGATGTTTTTTTTTTTTTAACTTTTGTCACATTTCAATTTTTTTTAATTATAAAAAATAGATTTTTACATTTCCAATCCATTAGTCATTGCTCTTCTGTATTTTTCATTTCAGGACATTTGTGGATTTAGGGTTTTTTTTTTATTCATTTCCATTTTTATTTATGAAATGGGAGATTCAATTCGTTTTCATTTAAAAAAAAAAAGAAAAATCCAATCTTTAATGATTATTTTGTTCTGTCAAGACATTTGAATCCATGTCATCCTTTTTAATCGATTTAATGCATTCTTTTCAAGACTTTCCCATGAAGTGTTTTTTTTTCTCTTAAAATGAGTGAAGGCATTGCTTTGGAACATTCTGACATTTTCATCATTATTTTCCGATTAATATTCATCGTGATCCGCACAGACACACACACACACGCACGCGCGCAGGGTGATGTCGTGTGCGCGGGCAGCTGAGTAACAGCTGCTCCCCACATCCTCATCTTCATCCCCCCCCCCTCCCCTCGCCATGCTTTTGCTGCTTCCGAGCGTGGCTCCAACACTCCCATTTGCAGTCGTCGCGCACCTGCGCACGCACTCTGCTAATGAAGGTGCTTCCCAGGATTCCCCGTTTCTCTTTGTTCCCACTCTGATTGATGACTCAGTGGGCCGGCCCCCTTTTTCCCGGCACACGACGCCGGCGGCACGCCGGAATTTGCGAGCGGCGCTGGCATCCCTCAAGAGTGGTGCGCGCGCCCCCCCCGCATGTGGCGCAAGGACAAAAAGGACGTCTGGACTGCAGATCGATTCCGAGTGGTGCAACGGCGCCCCCTTGAATTACCCGAGCGGTCCGTTTTCAAAATTGGGGGTGTCGAGTGTGTTTTCACTCCCTTTTGAATTCAGTTTCAATGTTCGAAATCTCTTCCAGCACCGCCCAAAATTGATTTTATTTTTTTAAATTTCATTTCACTTGCAGCCGTTGTTTTCGGTGACATTATGTGAAGCGAAAGGACTGCGAGAAAAGCGTCGAGTCTCTGCTTCCGTCCGAAAAAAAAAGTTTTTGTCTTCCTTGGTAGGCAGCAGTAGGACAGCTTGAATGTTTCTGCTGTGCAATATCACTGGAGCCCGTCATGCTTGAATAGTGGATGGACGTTGTGTGTGTTGGAGATTTTTTTCCCCCCTTTTGAAGTGGGTACACCAATTCTGTCAGGATTTCGAAGAGGCGTGTCAACTCTCTTGATTGTCAGCGGGTTTGTGGTTTTTTTTTTGTCTTTTTGAAAGGGGTGTGTCAAGCGTGTCAGGATTTTGAAGAGGTTTCTGCTTTATTTTTTTTCAAGGTGGTGCGCCAACTCTTTCGTGGTTTTGAAGGGGGGTTCTTTTTTTTTCCCCTTTGTGGAGGGAGTACTGTACAGTTGAAGGTGTGTTGGTGTGTGTGGGTGCGACACTGTCAGGATTTTGAAGAGGTTTGTGGACATTTTTTTTTCTATTTTTTGAAGTGGGTGCACCAACTCTATTATGATTTTGTGGTGTGGATTTTTTTTTTCTTTTTGGATTGGGTGCACCTTTAAGGTGTGTGGATTTTTCCAACCCCTCTCAGGATTTCGAAGCAATCTGTCTGAATGTGAGGATATGCGGTTTTATTTTTTATTTATTTATTTATTTTTTGGTAGGGGGTGCGCCAACTTTGTCCGGATGTTAAAAATGTTGTGTTCCTTATATGGGCATTGGCATTTCTTTCTTTTTTTGGTGTTTGTTTCACTGTTGTGCATCTCATTAGCATTTTTTTGGTGTGTTTTCGGTGCGCTAGTAGTCCGTTTTGCTTTTGTGTGTGTGTGTGTGTGAGAGTCCTGTTTGTTGTGGTCCTAATCGGGGTCACGTGGCATCTCCGGAGGCGTGTATCCAAAGGTCTCGCCGCGCACCTTATTGCTTTCGAGCGGCGTCGGTGATTCATCACAGCGGCTAACGCACTCGCCGCGAGCCTCCGGCGTCCTGCGCGCACCCCGCCGCCGAGCGGTCGCCGCCGCCGGCTCCTCCCGACCGAAGTGTTATCAGCGCGGGCCGGCACAGGATATGAAGGCGGCGAAACGGCGGCTCACGCGCTGCCGTTGATGTGTTTCGGCGTGATAAAAGTGGATTTGAAGGCTCAACTTGTGGAGCACATTAGCACTCATGTGATGTTGATGTCAGCGGATGAAAAAGTTGCACGCATGACTCCATGTGCCGTCTTGGCTCATTTGATGACATATCCCCCCCCCCCCCAGCCCCCCGCCCTCTCCTCAACAACAGTGTGTCGT